GAAGGTGACTTTTGATGATCTGACACGGAAGTCCATGATTCAACAGTAGTTTCTCTTTTTTTTTTTTTTTTTTGTCTTTTTTGAGACAGGGTCTCACTACGCAGCTCAGGCCGGCCTTGAGCTCATGTTGTAGCCCAGGCTGGTCTCGAACTCGCAACGATCCTCCTGCCTCAGCCTCCGAGTGCTGGGATTACAGGTGTGCACCACCACGCCCAGCTCAACAGCAGTTTCTACTGAGAAATAGTCCAAGAAAAACATCAGGCCCCTACTCCACGAGATCCTTTTAAACATATCAACCAGAAAAACAGGTTCTCAGTCTTTGACAAGCCTGTGGTTTAGGGGATGATTATCTCAGTGTGTTGGACTATGTATTTTTTGCTAATTATTATACCACTATTATAGTTTTTATTTATTGCATAATAATCCAGGTTAAAAATATAAACTTACCAAAAAAATAGAAGACATACGTCCAATTCATATAGTAGCAAATTATTCCAGAAAGAGGAAGTGAAATCACTGTCCCAAGCTGTGCTCCTGGAACGACACATGAAACTTCATAAGCTTTGGAAGGAGATGAGCAGAGAAGGGACAGGTCTGTCGCTTGAGGAGCACGGGACGGGGTGCAGCTCAGCAGAGAGCACTTGCCTTGCAGGCCTGAGGCCCTGGGTTCTGGACCCAGGACTGTATCATCTACATAAATAAACAGACAAATCAACAGGCCAGGGAATGGGTGCTATACTTTTTTTTGTCTTTTTGAGACAGGGTCTTGCTCTGCAGTTCAGGCTGGCCTTGAGCTCACTTTGTAGTCCAGGCTAGTCTGGAACTCGCAATGATCCTCCTGCCTCAGCCTCCCGAGTGCTAGGATTATAAGCATGTGCCACCAAACCTGGCCAGGAACAGGTGCTAAAGGACAAAAAGAACTGCTAACATCCAAGAGTTAGATTAGCCACATGGAAATATAAGCAATACATTCTCTAAAGGGAGGCTTCCAGAAAACCCGCACCAGTCGCCAGCAGTAGACTCCTTACAGCGTGATGGAGCAGACACCCATGTGCTAGAAATCCAGGGGTCTGGGGCAAAGCCTCAAAGATGGTCTCTAGGACTGATAAGGGGCCGGGGATATAGCTCAGTGGCATAAGCGCCTGGCTGGCAAGTGCAAAGTCCTGAGTTCAATTCCTGGTACCAAAGGAAAAACATAAAAAAGACTGATAAGGATAGCCTGTCACAGCAGACTTGCTGAAATGAGAATGGAGCTTATCTTAGGATGACTGCTTCAGGCTCATAAACAATACAGTAGAGGGTTTTAACCATCCACTGTAGGACGTCTCAGTAAATACTGTGGGAGCTAAAAAGATGAATCAGGTTTTACTTGCTGGTCCTGAGTTTCTGACTCAGAAGGTGGTGTTAAGGGAGGGTCAGGAAGTGTTAAGGGGAGGGCGATGCGGACTTCAATGTTGGGAGATTTTGTTCCTGACCCGCAGAGGTAAGCAGGAGTGGCACCTGGACTTTGAAAAATCAGAAAGATCTGAGCCCCAAGAAACAAAGTCAGAAAGAGGGCACACAGGCAGTGAGCAGGGTAAGCAGGGGAGCAGAACTAGGAAATCAGAGTGGGTTGGGGAACTGCACTTGGGTACAGAGAATGAACAGAAAATTAAGGTAAACCACGCATGGTGGTGCACGCTTATAATCCCAGCACTGGGGAGGCTGAGGCAGGAGGATCGCTGGGAATTTGAGGCCAGCCTGGGCTACAAAGTGAGCTCAAGACCAGCCAGAACTGTATAATGAGACCTTGTATCAAAAAGATTAAAGAAAAGGTTAAGAAAACCAAGTCGAGTGGTTGGTGTGCGGCTGACGCCACGCCGGGCACCAAGTGCCAGGCCCTAGGTGAATGGCAGGGAGTGGTGAAGGTGAAAGGAATCTGAACTGAGCCCAAGGAACCCGGACTTCCTTCCGTGGGGAAGGGACCTGCTGTCCTGGAACTCATCCTCAGATCTCTTGTATCGTCTCTTTACAGCACCAAGAAGGGTCTTAAAATTAATGCAGGGTCTTGTCTCTCACTTGCTTAAAAATTTCTAATGCTAGCACTGGTTGTGGTGGCGCACACCTGTAATCCCAGCACTCGGGAGGCTGAGGCAGGAGGATCCTTGCAAGTTCGAGACCAGCCTGGGCTGCAAAGAGAGCTTGAGGCCAGCCTGAACTGCACAGCGAGACCCTGTCTCAAAAAGACAAGAAAAAAAAAAAAATTCTAATGCCTCCCTGTTGTATTCTGGGGACAACATACACATTCCTTTCTGCAGCCAGTGAGGTCTGATAGACCTGGCTCTTGTCTGTTTCTCTTATCTCATCTCAGGCCAGGAGCCGCCGCAGTGTCTGTGAGTCCTGCGGACTGCTATCTGACCTCCTGCCTTGAGAGCACTGCTACACCATGTTCTGGTGTCCGGAATGCTCTTCTCTCTGCTCTGCCCTTTGCGTGACTGCTTTGTTCTTCTCCTTGAGATATTTAAGGTCACCGCAGATACCACAGACAAGCCTTTCCCAGGTGACTGAAGCAGAAAATTCCCCACTCAGTCAACAGAAAAAAGGCCACAAGTTTTTCTGTAGTCTGATAAAATAGAATCTACATATACAAAGCTCACGTTATCCAGTCCAAAATAACGCTGATCACGAAGATGCCAAAGCCGAGTGTGGAGGCGCACACCCGTAATCCCAGCACTCGGGAGGCTGAGGCAGGAGGATCGTTGTGAGTTTGAGGCCAGCCTGGGCTACAAAGGAGCTCAAGGCCAGCCTGAGCTGCACAGTGAGATCCTGTCTCAAAAAGACAAAAAAAAAAAAAAAAAAAAAAAAAAAAAAAAAAAAAAAAAAGATGCCAAAGAGATGCACAGGAAGAAGATGAATGAGGAGAGGGGTGAAGAGTCATGATACTCTATGACACAATCAAATCAGAAATCACACTGAAGGGGCAAAAGTGCTCAACTTTCCAGCTATTGTTTATTTTTCCAAATAAATACCATACACCGACATCTGAAAAGACAACATACTTTGCAGTAAATGGGGAAGATAATATTCGTTAACTAAGACAGATTACTACATACTGCTGAACCAAAAAGAAAAATTAATAATAAAGTTGTAAACCTCCCCCAAGCTTATTTTCTCCCCCAAAGAAAAATCCAGTATTTTCATTTTATTTTTTAATTTTTTTTTTTTTTTTGTCTTTTTGCAACAGGGTCTCACTATGCAGCTCAGGTTGGCCTTGGACTCACTTTGTAGCCCAGGCTGGTCTTGAACTGGCAAAGACCCTCCTGCCTCAGCCTTCCGAGTGCTGGGATTACAGGCGTGCACCACCACGCCTGGCTAAGAAACATCCAGTATTGCATGGTTCTGGCTGGCAGGCGCTTTCCCCCCAAGGTTGCAAACATAATGAATTACAGCAAAAGTTCTACGAGAATAGCTCTTACCTGCATATGAGATGCTGAGAAGCTTGCTTCTTTCAAGCGGAGGAGCCCACGAAGCCCAGATGGCATGCATGGCTGGGAAGGTGACGCCCTGCGGGAGGGGAAGTCTCGGGTGAAATACGAGTCCGCCGTGGTAATGTTTTAAATTAAATAGAGTATTTTGTTACAAAGGAATTTTTTTTTGGATCAGAATCAAACCAGATTCAGACTCATTGAAGGGAAGTGTCTTTACAGTGTTAAGTGAAAATACCTCTTAATGAAGTGCTTTCAAAATGGACAGTGATTCATGGTTTTTGGAATTTTTTTGTCTTTTTGAGACAGGGTTTCGCTATGCAGTTCAGGCTGGACTTGAGCTCACTTTTGGCAATTTTTAAAGTACTCTAGCAAACTTTATCACAGATAAGCCTTATACCTACCCTGCGGCTGAGGATGGGCAGGTGTTTCAGCCACAGGTATTCAAAAATGACTGAGGTGAGGTCTAGGGTTAGGACATACCCAAGGTTTGATCCTTTTTTATTTTGTCTTTTTGAGACAGGATCACGCTATGTAGTTCAGGCAGGCCTTGAGCTCACTTTGTAGCCCAGGCTGGTCTCGAACTCACAAGGATCCTCCTGCCTCAGCCTCCCGAGTGCTGGGATTACAGGTGTGCGCCACCACACTCAGCCCAAGGTTTGATCCTTAAGTACACAGAATTCCTTTTTTTTTGGGTACCAGGAATCAAACTCAGGACCTTGCGCTTGCCAGGCAGGTGCTTATGCCACTGAGCTACATCCCCGGCCCTGATCCTTAAGTACAGAGGAGCTGCCACTGCAACTCTGATTTTCTTTGTGTCATCCACTGTGCTTTCCAATATAGCCTAACACAGCTCTACCTGAAATACCTTCCTGCTACAGACCAGAATATAAGCTACCATGCTGTCTGGCTATCTAAAGAAATGTAAGACAAAAATAACTCTGTGCCTCTGTTTCAAAGGAGAAGTTCAAAATTACAACAAAAGGAACTTTTATTTAAAGGCAGAGGTGTACGAAAGAGAGACAATCAGCCCTTGGGAGGCTGAGGCAGGAAGATGGCCGCAAGTCTGACGCCAGCCTGGGCTACATAGCGAGTTTGAGGTCAGCCTGAACTGCAGAGCGAGGCCCTGTCTCAAAAAGACCAAAAAAACCCCAAAAAAACAAAAAAAAAAACCCCAGAAACAAAAACAAAAAACCCAAAAAACAACAAAGAAGAAAGACAGGAGAAAAAGAAAGATAAGAATTAAAAAATTGTATTTTCAAGCCAGGTGTAGTGGTGCACACTTGTAATGTTTGTAATCCCAGCACTCGGGAGGCTGAGACAGGATGGTTGCGAGTTCAAGATCAGCCTGGGCTACAAAGTGAGCTCAAGGTCATCTGGAACTGCATAGTGAGACCCTGTCTCAAAAAGATAAGAAAAAAATTGTATTTTCAGTACTGGGAATTGAACTCGGCCTTTGCGATGAGCTGCACCCCAGGCTTTTTTCATTTTTTTTTTTTTCTGAGACAGTCTTGCTAAATTCCAAACTTCCCAGGCTGGACTGGAAGTTGTGATCCTCCTGCCTCAGCCTCCCAGAGTGCTGGAATCATAGGTGAGCGGCACCATACCCTGCCAGCCTCTGGTTTACCTTTGTTCTAACCTCTTACGGTCCACTGTTTCCTTCTGTCCTACATTCACACTAAAGCATTAAATGTTTAAGAACAGGACAAGATAAGGGACAGACAAAATTTACCTCCCCCAGTCCTTCCAGGGCTCTGAGCACGATGAGCGCCCCGGCCCCCAAGTCCGAAGCGATGGGTGTCAGCAGCGTGAAGAGAGACGTGCCGAGGATCCCGTACCCCAGCAGCAGCTTCCCCCCTACTTTGCTGGCAAAGTATCCTCCAGGGATCTGTGTGATGATGTAGCCATAAAAAAAAGCGCCGAGAATCCATCCTTGAGTTTCTGCATCCCACGGGTACCTCTTACCCTGGAAAAGCACAAGGAAACCCATTCTTTCAGACCGGGATTAAACAGCGTCCTCCTCTTGGTCCAATCAAACACAGGGACGAAAATGCAAGCCATGGTGTGGGTCCAGGGAGTGCAGGCCTACATCCCCAGTCCTTTCGACATTTTATCTAAGG